AACTGCAGAAGTAGGAAAGGGAGACCCTCCCTTCCCAAACACACACCACCACTAAAGAAGCTGAAGGTCTGTTTGTGGGAGAAGTTTCCAACTTTACCTGGAGCTGAGTCAAGTTAGAGAGCTGAGCCAAGGGAAATACAAGGGTAGAAGCAGCAGAAAGGCCCTGGGAGCTTGCCCAAGCAGGCCATTCCTGCCTGACACCACAGGGATCCATGGGGAAGGTAGCCAAAGGAGCAGGGCATAAAACTCCACAGGGAGAAGGAATTCTCTAGCTGAATTTTTTAACAATTAGAAAGGGGCAAGAAACCTCCTGGCCACAACTTCAGGGAGGGCACAAATCTACGAATCTGGGGTACAGACTTCACAGGCGGGGGAAGAACTAAAACCCTAACCCCCTTCCCCCATCCCCCGCCCGGTAGCTGGAAGGAGGAAAACCACAGGTGAGTTTTCAAGCCTGTCTCACCCTCTGCCTGGAAACAGACTCAAGGCTGTTGTGGGAGGCCCAGTGGGAGTGAGACTGGCCCTTCAGTTTGCATGGGAGCTGGAGGAGGCCTATGACTGCTGGATTTCCACCCTCTTCCCTGACAACCTGGATGACTCAGCAGAGGCAGACATAATCCTTCTACATACACAACTCCAGTGACCTGGGAATCTCACTCACATTCCCTACAGCAGCCATAGCAAGACCCGCCCAAGGAGAGTCTCAGCTCAGACTGCCAAGCCTCACCTCCACCTGATAGTCCTTCCCATCAGGTGGAGAAGACAAAAAGAATTTAATCTTGGGAGTTCTAGGGTCCCGCCCACCACTAGTTTCTCTCCACACTACTTCAGCTGATGCTTTCTGGAAAGCGCCACCTCCTGGCAGGAGGCAAGCCAGCACAAAAATAGTGCATTAAATCACCAAAGTTAAGGACCCTAACAGAGTCTGTTGCATCGTCTGCCACCTCCACCGGAACAGGCACTGGTATCCACAGCTGAGAGGCCCATCTTCTGAGTTCACATCACAGAACTGTATGCAGACAATACCCAGTACCAGCCTGGAGCCGAGTAAACTCACTGGGCCGCTAGACCCAGAAGAGAGACAATAATTACTGCAGTTTGGCTCACAGGAAGCTACAGCCACAGCAAAAGGGGGAGAGTACTACATCAAGGGAATACTCCATGGAACAAAAAAAATCTGAACAACCTTAAGCCCTAGACTTTCCCTCTAGCAGAGCCTACCCAAATAAGAAGAACCAGAAAACTCACCCTGTTAATATGACCAAACAAGATGCTTTGACACCCCCCAAAAATCATACTAGTTCACTAGTAATGGATTCAAACCAAGAAGAAATACCTGATTTACCTGAAAAAGAATTCAGGAGGTTAGCTATGAAACTAATCAGGGAGGAAGCAGAGAAAGACAAAGCCTAGTGCAAGGAAATTCCCTAAAAATGATAAAAGAAGTGAAGGGGGGAAATATTCAAAGAAATAGATAACTTAAAGAAAAAAACAATCAAAAATTCAGGAAACTTTGGACACACTTTTAGGAATGTGAAATGCTCTGGAAAGTCTCAGCAATAGAATTGAACAAGTAAAGAAAGAAATTCAGAGCTCAAAGACAAGGTATTTGAATTAACCCAATCCAACAAAGTCAAAGAAAAAAAGGAAAAGAAAATATGAACAAAGCCTCCAAGAAGTCTGAGATTATGTGAAATGACCAAACCTAAGAATGACCACTGCTCCTGAGGAAGAAGACGTTTCTAAAAGCTTGGAAAACTTATTTGGGGCAATAATCAAGGAAAACTTCCCCAGTCTTGCTAGAGACCTAGACATGCAAATACAAGAAGCATAAAGAACTCCTGGAAAATTCATCACAAAAAATTATCTTCATCTAAGCACATTGTCATCAGGTTATCCAAAGTTAAGACAAAGCAAAAAATCTTAAGAGCTGTGAGACAGAAGCACCAGGTAACCTATAAAGAAAAACCTATCAGATGAACAGCAGATTTCTCAGCAGAAACCCTACTAGCTAGAAGGGATTGGGACACTATCTTTGGCCTCCTCAAACAAAACAATTATCAGCCAAGAATTTGTATCTAGCAAAACTAAGCATTATATATGAAGAAAAGATACAGTAGTTTTCAAACAAACACATGCTGAGAGAATTCACCATTACCAAGCCACCACTGTAAGAACTGCTAAAGGAGCTCTAAATCGTGAAACAAATCCTGGAAACACATCAAAACAGAACCTCTTGAAACCATAAATCATGCAGGATCTATAAAACAAAAATACGAGTCAAAAAGTAAAAAAAAAAAAAAAAATTAAGTACATGGGCAAAAAAGAGCATGATGAATGCAATGGTACCTCATATTTCAATACTAACATTTTATGTAAATTGCCTACATACTCCACTTAAAAGACAGAGAACCACAAAGAGAATAAGAACTCACCAACAAATCATCTGCTGCCTTCAGGAGACTCACCTAACACATAAGGACTTACATAAACTTAAAGTAAAGGGGTGAAAAAGGCATTTCATGCAAATGGACACCAAAAGCAAGCAGGGGTAGCTAATCTTACATCAGACAAAACAAACTTTAAAGAACAGCAGTTAAGAGGAACATTACATAATGGTAAAAGGTCTTGTCCAACAGAAAAAATCACAATTCTAAATATATATGCACCTAACACTGGAGCTCCCAAATTTATAAAACAATTCCTACTAAACTTGAGAAATGAGATAGCAACGCAATAATAGTGGGGACTTCAATACTCCACTGACAGCACTAGACAGGTCATCAAGACAGAAAGTCAACAAAGAAACAATGGATTTAAACTATAACTTGGGGCTGGGCATAGTGGCTCATGCCCATAATCCCGGCACTTTGGGAGGTTGAGGCAGGTGGATCATCTGAGGTCAGGAGTTCAAGAACAGCCTGACCAACATGGAGAAACCCTGTCTCTACTAAAAATACAAAAAATTATCCAGGCATGGTGTCACATGCCTATAATCCCAGCTACTCTGGAGGCTGAGGCAGAATCGCTTGAACCTGAAAGTCAGAGGTTGTAGTAAGCCAAGATCATGCCACTGCACTCCACCCTGGGCAGTAAGAGTGAAACTCCATCTCAAAATTAATTAATTAATTACTTAATTAACTGTAGCTTGGAACAAATAGACAAGAGAACATTTCATCCAATGACCACATAATACACATTCTATTCAACAGCACATTGGAACTTTTTCCAAAATAGACCATGGGATAGGCCATAAAACAAGCCTCAGTAAATTTCAGAAAATTAAAACTATATCAAGCACTCACTCAAACCACAGTGGAATAAAACTGGAAATCAACTTCAAAAGCAACATTGAAAACCACACAAATATATGAAAGTTAAATAACCTGTTCCTGAATGAGCACTGGGCCAAAAACAAAATCAAGATGAAAAATAAAAAATTCTTTGAACTGAATGACAAAAATCAATCTATCAAAACCTCCAGGACACAGCTAAGGTGGTGCTAAGAGAAAAGTTCATAGCCCTAAATGCCTACATCACAAAGTCTGAAAGAGCACAAACAGGCAAGCTAAGGTCACACCTCAAGGAACTAGAGAAACAAGAACAAACCAAACTGAAACCTAGCAGAAGAAAGAAAATAACCAAGATCAGGGTAGAACCAAATAAAATTGCAACAAAAAAGTTACAAAAGATAAATGAAACAAGAAGCTGGTTTGTTGAAACGATCAATAATCTGATAGACCATTAGCAAGATTAACCATGAAAAAAAGAGAATAAAAAATCTAGAGAGAGATCCAAGATGGTTGATCACTAGCAGCTCAGGATTGTAGCTCCCAGTGAAAGCGCAAAGAAGGAGAGGACGCCATACCTTCACATGAATTCTTGCTGCTCACACACCAGGAGAGTCCCAGCGGAGGAGCCCCTCTGGTCGCCAGCGCGACTCTTGTGACCGGCGAGGCGGTTTTGCCGGTGACTTGGAGCGTCAGTTCTTGGTGCAGAGTCAGAAAAGCACCATCAATCTTAACACCGCTGATTTAGTCGGCGCAGTGGGTTGCTCAGATTTCGGCGCTGAGAATCAATAAGTTGGACGTCCACTCAGAAACCCAATTACAAAGACAGTAAATACAAAGACCACAGATGGATAAATCTACAACAAAGGGAAGAAAACAGCCCAAAAAGGCTGAGAATACCCAAGATCAGAACGCCTCTCCCTCAGCAGGGGATCATAGTTCCTCATCAGCAACGGAATGAGGCTTGATGGAGAGTGAGTGTGTTCCAATTACAGAAGCAGGCTTCAAAATGTGGATAATGAGAAACTTCTGTGAATTAAAACAACTTGTTTTAACCCAATCCAAAGAAACTAAGAACTTTGAAAAAAGATTTGACGAAATGTTAACAAGAATAAACAATTTAGAGAGGAATATAAGTGAATTGATGGAGCTGAAAAACACAATACGAGAACTTCGTGAAGTATGCACGAGTTTTAACAGCTGAATTGATCAAGCAGAAGAAAGGATATCAGAGGTCGAAGACCAACTCAATGAAATAAAACAAGAAGACAAGATTAGAGAAAAAAGGATAAAAAGGAACGAGCAAAGTCTCCAAGAAATATGGGACTATGTGAAAAGACCTAATCTACGCTTGATAGGTGTACCTGAATGTGACGAAGAGAATGAATCCACGCTGGAAAATACGCTTCAGGACATTATTCAGGAAAATTTTCCCAACCTAGTAAGGCAGGATAATATTCAACTCTAGGTAATACAGAGAACACCACAGAGATATTCCTCAAAAAGAGCAACTCCAAGGCACATAATCGTCAGATTCACCAGGGATGAAATGAAGGAGAAAATACTAAGGGCAGCCAGAGAGAAAGGTCAGGTTACCCACAAAGGGAAGCCTATCAGACTTACAGCAGATCTCTCAGCAGAAACCCTACAAGCCAGAAGAGAGTGGGGACCAATATTCAACATCCTTAAAGAAAAGAACTTTCGACAATAGAGCCCCCGCGCGTAGAGCGAGCGCTTTCAGCCTCCCCGCCCCTCCCGCAACGCTGGACCCCAGGATTCCCTCGGCTCGCTTGCTAGCCATGGCCGACAAGGAAGCAGCCTTCGACGACGCAGTGGAAGAACGAGTGATCAACGAGGAGTACAAAATATGGAAAAAGAACACTCCTTTTCTTTATGACTTGGTGATGACCCATGCCCTGGAGTGGCCCAGCCTAACTGCCCAGTGGCTTCCAGATGTAACCAGACCAGAAGGGAAAGATTTCAGCATTCATCGGCTTGTGCTGGGGACACACACATCGGATGAACAAAACCATCTTATGATAGCCAGTGTGCAGCTCCCTAATGATGATGCTCAGTTTGATGCATCACACTACGACAGTGAGAAAGGAGAATTTGGAGGTTTTGGTTTAGTTAGTGGAAAAATTGAAATAGAAATCAAGATCAACCATGAAGGAGAAGTAAATAGGGCTCGTTATATGCCCCAGAACCCTTGTATCATTGTAACAAAGACTCCTTCCAGTGATGTTCTTGTCTTTGACTATACAAAACATCCTTCTAAACCAGATCCTTCTGGAGAATGCAACCCAGATTTGCGTCTCTGTGGACATCAGAAAGAAGGCTATGGGCTTTCTTGGAACCCAAATCTCAGTGGGCACTTGCTTAGTGCTTCAGATGACCACACCATCTGCCTGTGGGACATCAGTGCCGTTCCAAAGGAAGGAAAAGTGGTGGATGCGAAGACCATCTTTACAGGGCATACAGCAGTAGTAGAAGATGTTTCCTGGCATCTGCTCCATGAGTCTCTCTTTGGGTCAGTGGCTGATGATCAGAAACTTATGATTTGGGATACTCGTTCAAACAATACTTCCAAACCAAGCCACTCAGTTGATGCTCACACTGCTCAAGTGAACTGCCTCTCTTTCAATCCTTATAGTGAGTTCATTCTTGCCACAGGATCAGCTGACAAGACTTTTGCTTTGTGGGAGCTGAGAAATCTGAAACTTAAGTTGCATTCCTTTGAATCACATAAGGATGAAATATTCCAGGTTCAGTGGTCACCTCACAATGAGACTATTTTGGCTTCCAGTGGTACTGATCGCAGACTGAATGTCTGGGATTTAAGTAAAATTGGAGAAGAACAATCCCCAGAAGATGCAGAAGATGGGCCACCAGAGTTGTTGTTTATTCATGGTGGTCACACTGCCAAGATGAGCCTTGGGTGATTTGTTCTGTATCAGAAGATAATATCATGCAAGTGTGGCAAATGGTAAGGGTCATTTATTTGGGGGAGCTGAAATGAGAAAGCCATTGAATCAATTTGCATTTATATATTTTATGATTACAGCTACCATCTGTGTTCATTTTACTCCCAGGTGTGATTTTAAGGCTTGTCTATACTTTGTCATTTTTGACTGCCTACTTGTATTTGGTTATCCCACTGGTATTTTAAATTCAGCTAAACAAAACCGATCCTCTCTCCCACTTCTCTTTTCTCCTCTTTCCTCCTCCTGTCTTTATTTTTGTTTTGTTTTGCTTTGATTTTGAGACAGAGTTTAGCTTTTGTTGCCCAGGCTGGAATGCAGTGGCGCTCACTGCAACCTCTGCCTCCTTGGTTCAAGTGATTCTCTTGTCTCAGCCTCCTGAGTAGCTGGGATTACAGGTGCCTGCCACCACACGTGGCTAATTTTGTATTTTTGGTAGAGACGGAGTTTCTCCATGTCGTTCAGGTTGGTTTAGAACTCCTGACCTCAAGTGATGTGCCCACCTTGGCCTCACAAAATGCTAGGACTTTCTTCTTTTTCTTAACATGGCTCCAATATTTTCCCAGCTAACCAGACTGGAAAACTCAAGAATTTTTCATGTCCTTTCACCTTTAGTTCTAGTTCATTCCCAAATTTCATACCATCTGTCTGCAGTGTTTCTCCTATCTTTCCTCATCATCTTACAAGTACAAATTTACATACCCAGAGGAGGTGTGTCATCATAGCATCAAATACTACCATTTCTCCATGAAACCTAGCTAGATTTCAAAAATATTCCTTTATCTCTACCTCAAAGAAGGTAGTCACCCTCTTCAAATTTTCAAAGCACTTCAGTTTAATAAAAATAACTGGTGTCTCATATTAATATTAAAAAATAGTTACATTCTGGAAAAAAAAAAGAAAAGAAAAGAAAAGAACTTTCAACCCAGAATTTCACATCCAGCCAAACTAAGCTTCACATGTGAAGGAAAAATAAAGTTTTTTGTGAATAAGCAAGCACTCAGAGATTTCATCACCACCAGGCCTGCTTTACAAGAGCTTCTGAAAGAACCACGACACATTGAAACGAACAAACAGTATCAGCCTTTCTAAAAAAAATACCAAAAAGAGCATCAATATAATGAAGAATTTACATCAACTAATGGGCAAAATAGCCAGCTAATATTAAATGGCAATATTAAACTCACATATATTATTATTAATTCTAAATTTAAATTGACTAAATCCCTCAATCCAAAGACAGACAGGCAATTTGAATAAAAACTAAAACCCATCAGTATGCTGCATCCAGACCCATCTCACATTCAAGGATACACAAAGACTCAAAACAAGGGATGGAGAAGGATTTACCAACCAAACAGAGAGCTAAAATAAATAAATAAAAAGCAGAAGTTACAATTAAGCAACAAAGATCAAAAGAAGCAAAGAAGGACATTATATAATGATAAAAGGATCAATGCAACAACAAGAAGAGCTAAAGATCCTAAATATAGACGCACCCAATACAGGAATATACAGACATACAAGACTTATAAAGCGACTTAGACTCCTACATAATAATAGTGGGAGACTTCAACATTAATATTAGACAGATCAATGAGACAGAAAATTAACAACGATATCCAGGACTTGAACTCAGATCTGGAACAAGTAAATGTAATTAACATTTATAGAACTCTCCACTTTAAATATACAAAATATACACTCTTATCAGTACCACATCATATCAACTTAGATGTTTAAATGAAATGTTGGTTGGCTCCTTGTTTGTTATTCTCTTCCCTCATTTTCTTTTATATCTCCATTATTAAGGACAATTATAGGCATACCCATATTTAGATTGCATTCTAGCCCAGGCAATAAAGCAATATCCCCATCCTCTCTCCCTCTTCCTCCTTCTCTTTCTTCCTCTTCTTTATTCTTTTTCTTATTAAAAAAAAAAAAGAAAGAAAAAAAAGAAAGGACAGGTTTTCAGATCTATTCCTGTCCACAGTTCCCTGAATAACCAGTTTGAAATATATCAAGAAACTGTGTTCTGAGGTGGCACATTCTTGCCTTCCACATTACCTTCCACTTATTCCCCCAGGAGTTTCCTAGTCACTTCCTTACCATGCACTGTCCCTCAGAGTCCAAAGACCCTTAAAAAAAAAGAAGAAGAAAAAAAGAAAGAAAATCCAAATAACCACACTAAGAAATGAAACAGGATATATTACTACTGACACCACCGAAACACAAAAATCATTCAACACTGCTGTGAACACCTTTATGCACATAACTAGAAAACCTAGAAAAAAATGGATAAATTCCTGGAAAAATACAGCCCTCCTAGCTTAAATCAGGAAGAATTAGATACCCTGAACAGACCAATACAAGCAGTGAGATTGAAATGGTAACTTAAAAAATATCAACCAAAAAAAAGTCCAGGACCAGACAGATTCACAGCAAAATTCTACCAGATATTCAGAGAATTAGCACCAATCCTGACACAATTCCACAAGGTAGAGAAAGAAGGAACCGTCCCTAATTCATTCTATGAAGCCAGCATCACCCTAATACCAAAACCAGGAAGGGACACAACCAGAAAGGAAACTAACTACAGACCGATATACTTGCTGGACATAGATGCTAAAATCCTTAACAAAATACTAGCTAACTGAAATCAACAACATATCAAAAAGATAATCCACCATGATCAAGTGGGTTTCATACCACAGATGCAGGGATGGTTTAACATATGGAAGTCAATAAATGTGACACACCACATAAACAGAATTAAAAATCATACGATCATCTCAGTAGATGCAGAAAAAAGCATTTGGCAAAATCCAGGATCCCCTTATGATTAATACTCTCAGCAAAACTGGCATACAAGGGACATACTCAATGTAATCAAAGCTATCTATGACAAACCCACAGCCACCATAATACTGAATGGGGAAAAGTTGAAAGCATTCCCTCTGAGAATGGGAACAAGACAAGGATGTCCACTCTCACCACTTGTCTTCAACATAGCACTGGAAGTTCTAGCCAGAACCTTCAGACGAGAGAGTGAAATAAAAGGCATCCGAAGCAAAACTAAGCAAAAAGAAGTCAAACTGTCACTGTTTGCTGACAATATGATCGTTTCCCTTGGAAACCCTAAAGCCTCCTCCAGAAAGCTCCTAGAACTGATAAAAGAATTCAGCAAAGTTACTAGACACAAGATTAATGTACATAAATAAGTAGCTCTTCTATACACCAACAGCAACCAAGTGGAAAATCAAATCAAAAACTCAACCTTTTACAACAGTAGGGCAAAACAAACAAACAAAAACAAAAACAAAAAACACTTAAGAATATACGTAGCAAAGGAGTCAAAAGACCTCGACAAGGAAAACTACAAAACACTGCTGAAAGAAATCATAGATGACACCAACAAATAGAAACACATCCCATGCTTATGGATGGGTAGGGTCAATATTGTGAAAATGACCATACTGCCAAAAGGAACCTACAAATTCAACACAATCCGCATCTAAATACCACCATCATTCTTCACGGAGTTAGAAAAAACAATTCTAAAATTCATATGGAATTAAAAAAAGAGCCCACATAGCCAAAGCAAAACTAAGCAAAAAGAACGAATCTGGAGGCATCTCACTACCTGATTTCAAATTATACTATAAGGCCATAGTCACCAAAACAGTATGGTGCTGGCATAAAAATAGGCATATAGACCAAAGGAACAGAATAAAACACCCAGAAATAAACTCAAATACTTATAGCCAACTGATCTTTGACAAAGCAAGCAAAAACACAAAGTGAGGAAAGGACACCTTATTTAACAAATAGTGCTTGGATAATTGACAACCCACATGTGGGAGAATGAAACCGGATCCTCATCTCTCACCTTATTAAAAAATCATCTCAAGATGGATTAAAGAATTTAAAATCTGAAACTATAAAAATTCTAGAAGATAACCTCAGAAAAACCCTTTGCCTAGACATTGGCTTAGGCAAAGATTTCAAGTTCAAGAACCCAAAAGCAAATGCAATAAAAGCAAAGATAAATAGCTGGGACATAATTAAACCAAAAAGCTTTTGCACACCGAAAGAAAAGTCAACAGAGTAAACAGACAACCCACAGAATGGGAGAAAATCGTCACAGTATATACATCTGACTAAGGACTAGAATCCAGAATCTACAACAAACTCAAACAAATCAGTAAGAAAAAAACAGTCCCATCAAGAAGTGGGCTAAGAACATGAATAGACAACTCTCAAAAGTAGATATACAAATGACCAACAAACATATGAAAAAATGCTCAGCATCACTAATGATCAGGGAAATGCAAATCAAAACCACAATGAGACACCACCTTAATCCTGCAAGGATGGCCATAATTAAAAAGTCAAGAAACAGTAGATGTTGGCATGGATGCAGTGATACAGGAACACTTCTACACTGCTGGTGGGAATGTAAACTAGCACAGCCACTATGGAAAACAGTGTGGAGATTCCTTAAAGAACTAAAAGTAGAACTACCATTTGATCCAGCAATCCCACTGCTGAGTACCCACCCAGAGGAAAAGAAGTCATTATTTGAAAAAGATACTTGCAGAGGCATGTTTATAGCAGCACAATTTACAATTGCAAAATTTTGGAACCAACCCAAATGCCCATCAATCAATGAGTGGATAAAGAAACTGTGGAATATATATATACAATAGAATACTACACAGCCATAAAAAGGAATGAATTAACAGCATTTGCAGTGATCTGAATGAGACTGGAGATTATTACTCTAAGTGAAATAACTCAGGAATGGAAAAAAAACATTGTATGTTCTCACTGATATGTGGGAGCTAAGCTATGAGGACACAAAGGCATAAGAATGATACAATGGACTTTGGGAGCTTGAGGGGAAGAGTGGGAGGGGAGCAAGAGATAAAAGACTACAAATATGGTGCAGTGTATACTGC